AAAAAAAAAGAAAATGTGACTAAGAAACAATTATCATGCATTGATTATTATGTATTGATTCAAATGTTAACAAGGGATAAACAGCACTGATAGCCAAGTTTCCACTGTTTTACAACAGTCACATAAAGATTCTTGAATCCTCCTTGATCCTTATTAATCCCATTTATTTTAAAATCTCAAAATAGTTTTAAACTAAGTTTAATATTTTTTTTTAATTTTAAAAAAGAAGCCGTAAAGAGATAATTGGAGGTAAAAAAAAATGTTTTCCCCTCTCTAGTTGTAGGTATGTCATCTTTGAGAAAACAGATTTGAAAACTACTGTTTCAGGGGAAATAACTTGGGACATTTTCTAAATGTGTTCCCATGAAAACATCATTTTTGCAGGGTTCCAGCTTTAGGTGATTAAAACATGGATATCCTACTCAGAAGGTTGCACTCAAGAAATTTAGCATATCAAAAAAATATAACAGTTTGGCTTAATTAGTGAAGTATATCTCATATTCTTTCAATGATTCACCTATGTAGGAATAAAGTGACAACAGTCTCTCCAAAGGTTAGATGATAAGCTGTGTGAGCTGTGATTCTGATGCTGAAATAATCTGGAAAGATCTGACAAGTTTGGTCAGATAACGTGAAAAATGCAATCAATGTCACCAGGAAACTCACTCCTCAGTGCCATCAAGCAGGTACTGACTCACAGCTGGCCCTTCAGCAGGTTTCTGAGGCTGTAAATGGCACGGAGACTAGCCGCATCTCTCCTGAGGAGCTACTGTTGGACTTCCATGGCCTGTGAGTCAGTAGTGAAATTCTCAACAGATTACACCACCAGAGCTCCCCACACACGTTGTTTGTGGAAATGGTCTATTCTTTGATGTGTGTATTTCACAAAAATAAAATAAAAAGAATCTTTTAAAAATATTAAAGAGAACATAGTTATCTATTTACTATTGAGATTCAAGACATATGTGTTCTACTTTTTTTCTCTATAAAAATTAATAAGCAGTGAAGTATTCCTGAGCAAGACACACAGTTAATGCATCATTGCAGGTCCACAGTGCTTTGGAAGGAAGTACTAATGATCCACTTCAAAAAACTCAGCAATTGACTTCCTACAGAGCAGTTCCATGCTACATGTTGGGTAACAATTATTCAGATTGAACAGAGGTGAGTTTCAATGGATCTAAACCATTTAATAACTAATACAGAATAAGTAGGGCAACAGTTGTGGCAGTAGCCCTATTAAATCAGTGTTTGTCTTAAGGCAAAGAAAAGTATACTCAAGTATTCATAAAATCTCAACTTCAATTGCAATTAATAAAATTTGGCCAATTAAAAACCCCATTGGCTTATAACATAAAAAGCAAGGTGATATATACACTTGCACAGAGACTTAAAAGAAAAATGAAGAACATTTCAACTTTCATTTTATTTGTTACTAAATCTGAGTTGTCTATAATGATACTCACAGACTTCCCTTTGGGTAAGTTTCCTTCACAAGCCTGTTTAGAGAGATCCTGACGCCCAATCAAGAGGCAGACAGCTTCTGGCCAGTCTGAAGCAGGCTGCTCCCGGCAGTGATATATTGCATCTCTGATGGGAAGTGCAATTCCAAATGGAAGAGTTTCTAAATCTCTTAAAGTGAAGCCTTGTGATGAAGGGATGAAAGAAAAATACATTTAAGTATCACTGAATCAATAAATGTCACAACTGAAGTTAGTAAACATCCATCCTGATAAAAGAGGAAGAAATGTATTTAATTCATCTTAATATCAGACTGCTGCCTTAGCACACAAGATTAATACAAAAGGCTTTTTTACAGATTCCAAAAGGATTATCATGTGAAATATACAGAACTCCCCAAAATACCTTAAGATAAACAATCCAGGAAAAAAAATACAAAGAATAAAAATATTTCCAGGAAGAACAGGCACAAATGATAATATATAAAAAGCTATTCTTCCTAATGAGAGGTCAGAGAAATGTATATTAAAAGTACTAGGAAATTAATTTCCTATTCACTTGACAAATATACTAAGTGTTGACAGCTATGAAAAGCAATAATCATTTTCATCAACAGCTAATGGTAGTGTAAATAGATGTAACCACTTCAGAAAGCAGGTGCCATTGCCTAGTAGAGCTGAGCATGTACAGACAGGCCCAACCTATGACCACACTACAGTCACAGAAAAATGCAAGTGCACCCGGACGCATAATGTTGTTGTTGTTATGTGCCATAGAGTCGCCTGCGACTCATAGCGACCCTATGTACAACAGCCCTAAACTCCGCTCTGTCCTGTGCCAATCGC